CTCAATAGCACCCACCTCTACTCAATAGCTTCTGCCTTTACTCAATAGCACCTACCACTACTCAATAGCACCCACCTCTATTCAATAGCACCCACCTCTGCTCAATAGCACCTGCCTTTACTCAATAGCACCTACCACTATTCAATAGCACCTACCACTACTCAATAGTACCTACATTTACTCAACAGTACCCACCTCTGTTCAATAGCACCCACCTCTACTCAATAGCACCTACCTCTACTCAGTAGCACCTACCTCTACTCAATAACATCTGCCTCTACTCAATAGCACCTACTTCTACCTCTACTCAGTGGCCAAGCCAAAAACCCAAAGACCTTTGAATCTTTGAACTTCCTTTTCTCAGTCTCTCTTTTAAATATATTTAGAAATCACTTCATTATCTATTTTCTATCCCAAGAATAATTTATTTTTCTCATAATTTATTATGACATCAGAGTCTAGACTTCTCAGAGGTTTCTGAATTTGCTCAACAGTGGCAGATAGGTTGCTTAAAACTAAGGAAAAATACCAGTGAGAAAATTAAAGAGTTCTAAAAACAGTATATATGATGACCAAGACATAAAATTATCTGTGTCTAATTTGTTCACTAATTTGTTCTTCAAAAAGTACTTAGTAATTTTCTTAGGATAAAGATTTTTATAATGTTTGTAGCTAGATGGTTTTCTCATTTTGAAATAAGTATGACACTTTCTGAATCAAACAGGACAAAAGATTCAGATGTACAGAATGAACTGAGTCCATTGAAAGCAAAGGTATTTTGAATATAATTTAGATGTTGACCTTTGATAAACACAAAAACAGCATATATAATATCTCCAGAGAGTTTTCAAAACTTCTAAGCAGTTGATATTACATTTATAAACCTCTAGAGGAGAATCTTACTGGCAGCCACTCCCATCATTTTTTAACAGCTTATATAGCATTAAAATACAAAATTATGAAAAGCACCACACAGATACCACCTAATTCTGCTAATTATATTTCTATAATGTTTCTTGTTTTGATATCTCCCTTCCTGCTAAAACTTTCCAATAGCTCTCTGCTACACGTGGTATAAATGTGTACTGCAAATCTCTGGCCACACCCTTTACCATCTGTCCTCTCCATCCTTATTTCTTCAGCTGGGCCCTTTTCTGAATGGCCTTTAGACACATAGCAACTCTTTTGTTCCCTACTCTAACACACTCATCTCCCAAGGCTGTACCATTTGAATATCCCTCTTCCTGGAACCATCTCCTGCTGGTTCCTTTGTCATACCCACTTCTTGAGTCAACATGTCTCTAAGAGCCCTTCCTAACCTCTAACACATCCGGTCCTTACCTACCTCTCTCAAGAAGCACAGCCTCCCAGAACATCACTGTTCTCCTTTCTTTATAATGCTTAGCACTGTTTGACTCACTCTATCAATGATTTGCTTACTACTTAGAGAAGAGGACTTTTGATTTCAGAAACATAATTTCTACTTTATTTTGGCCCATAATCCTAATCAAAATTCAAATCTTACAAGAGTGGGGGAGTATATGTATCTTACAGCCAATTTCAATCAGCTCCCAGTGGCACACATACTGGCCTCACTTCCCTGACCTAACCTGCAGATGTTCCTGTATTTCCTACACTTGATCTTAACTGAACTATGACAATGAACAAAGAAATAAAACTTTTCCCATTCCAAGACAGAAC